CCATCTTGATGACAAACAACACAAAAGAAACTCCCGGATCAGACTGTTCAGTGAGAACCTAAAAGGCCCCTTTCCACCTGGAACTATTATGGATTGCCCTGCTTCCAATGCCATAGGTATCTTACCATATGGGCACCATCTTACCCCAGGCAACCAATGAGTTTCTTCAGAGCTGAACCGCCAAACAGTTTTGTTTGAAAACTATATTTTCACTTTGGAGTTATAGAAAAAAATTCAATCTGATCATGGCTACTTGGAAGACAAATAAGTCACAGATCAACTTGAATCAGTGCTACCTACAAAGTGACTCCTCAAGTCCCCTGTTATTCAATCTTTTGACTGCTGACTTTGCCTTGACTCGACAACATTGGAAATGAGTTACAAGTCATCTACAAGGTGACCACAAAAAAATGTACCTATACAATTTTATGATCCCTCATTTTTATTTCAAATGACATGTTCTTTGGTACACATTTGCCTCACATTATGCATGATAGCAATGGAAAGTTTCAGATGGATATCTTTAATGTCATTGACTTGATTGAGGTTAGTGCACATGCTCCAGATGTCAGCCTCTGCACTGCAAGCACACTTGGATGCAACAGACAAAATTGTTTTTTACTCTGACACATTCGGCTACAATGATTGAACGGATTTTGTGAGTTATTGCTGTTTTGAGATCATCAATGGATTGTGGCCTTCCTCTGTAGATGTTGTCCTTCAGATAGCCCCAAATATAGAAATCTGGCTGTGACAGATCTGGTGGGTGCGGTGCCCATTCAACATCAAGTTGCATCCAAGTGTGCCTGCAGCACAGAGGCTGACATCTGGAGCATGTGCTCTAACCTCAATCAAATCAATGACATTAAAGATATCCATCAGAAACTTCCCACAGTTATCACACATCATGTGAAGCAAATGTGTACCAAAGAACATGTCATTTGTAATAATGAGGAATTATTTAATTGTATGGGTAGCATTTCTTTGCGGTCACCCTGTACTAAGCAGATGACCTTATTCTGTACTCTTTTTGTGGGAAAGTCCAAACCATCCTTGATGCCCTCTTCAACTGGTTCCAGAAGAATGACATTATAGTTGAGAAAGAAAGGTCCTGAAATCTAAGAAAGGTAGAAGTCCAGCAAGAGTTGAAAATTTTCTTTTTGGAGATGATATGAATGAGATAGCAAACACCTATGACTATTTAGGAGTGAAGATGCAAGCAACATTTGCCCTGACTACATATACTGCATCATAAAAATATATAACCATGCCAGTAAAGCAGCTCACCTCCATGTATATAACTCTCCAGCAGTTTAACATTTACATTTAAACTTGTATACCCCTTATGCCCCTGAAACAATCACTCCATTACTCTAAACACATCACCTTTTAAATAAATTTTTAAAAAAGGATAAACATCCTTCCTAACATGATTATGGGCCTTGATATGAATTCTTCCTCAACTTTAGAGTACCAAATCACTGAATACAGAAGGAAGGGAGAAGTGATCCAGAGGTTCACAGTACTAAACATACATCTATCAGTGAAATTGGACTCAAAGGCTAATTTAGTCAGCACTTTAGTGCAGAACAAAATACTGATGATCCAGCACCCAAAAGTTGCACATGGAAAGCCCAGGGACAAAAAAAAAAAGGGACAGAAAGGCATATAATTCACTCCACATGCCATAGGGTTCATCATCCTTACTGCCCTAATAGTGGATACCATGTCTCCCCAACTGAAATACTTTTTGTCTTTTTCAAGATTCAGTTGAAGACAGGTACAACACCATAGTGGAACATAAGACTTTCTCAAGAATCAGTAACATATTTTAAAAGACTTGGCACAAATGAAGACAGGGACTTCTTATTCAATGCTTTTGTGACCTCTGCTTCTAATGACTTGATTTTTGTATTGCATCCCTTGTTCTTACTATGACAATAGGTTTTCTTAACCATTTCCTCATGGTTTTGTGATGAGTGTAAGCCCTGCACCACCCTCAAATAGGGTGAATAAATTCAAATTCAAAGGTCATCTTCAGCAGGTATATGTTTTCTTATGCAGTCTTCTTGATTTATATATGCCAGGACCTATGTTGAAAGCAAAATAATCTTGAACTTGCCTCAGGGGAAGGTAGATTAAGTACCAATGGTATGGTGGAACAGGGATCAGAGTTCAGAAAAAAATACAAGACATGGATCTTTGTTGACACACATTTTCATTACCATAGAGACCACAAATGTGTTGTCAGGGGGAGAATCTTTGAACACACACTCACACATGGCAGGATGACTAGGAAGAAAAACATTGGTGAGCCACAGGTTACCTGTACAGCATCAGGTGCTTCCTCTTAATCATATTGCCTGTATGACCAGACTTATTTTCCTACCTTCAGGCAAGGAGGGACAATAAAATTATGTGAAATTCATCCCCTTTGGAATGTTGTTTTATGGTCATGCCGACTTGTACAAATTCCCAGGAATAGTATTCTGGTCAGAAACCAATGGGATGAAGCACATTCACACCTGACATGGTGTATTGAGCGAATTCAAGTGCTATCAACCTACTGACACACCCCATATTCTGGGCTGAAAAAGGTAACATTTTTGAGAAGGAATCAAAGACAACACACAGTGACTGCTGCTTTTGGGATGATGCATGCTGACTGAGCAAAATGCACCATAAACAATATTTTTCTCACTCAGTGCTAGTTATTCTAAAGAGAAAGAGAATGGCATGGACACGAAAGGACAACAGACACTTTTGAGTCCTAATGTTAGAGGGTGAACAAGCCACATCAAGAGCATGTGGGATGCAGGAGAAATACATAGCCAGTCTTGTGTCTAACATGTTTCTGAATGACTGAAATACATTATTCTCATTTCATTATATAGGCCTGTAGTAACAACAAAATTCCATTACTACTTGTAAAAGGAAAGTAAAGAAAAATATTTGTTTTCTGTTTCTCATAAAGTGATGAAGAATAAGTCACATAATGTTTCTTCATCTCAATTAATTTCCACATGGCAATGCGGTTACCTCATAATCCCATCACAGTAACCCATAAGGAAAGTCTTTTGTCAGATTTGCTGTAAACTGGAATGATAAAGTCATGCCTAAATGGTACCACAGCTGATAACACTACAGCATGGTGTAAATTACACCTTCAAGCCTCCTGGGGCTCAGTGAGGTCAAAAGGAGAGGCATAAACACTGTATCTGACTGGGGAGGGGAGGCACAGACCACTATCTCTGGGGGTTCCATTTTTGTAACCCATCAAAATACTGCACAAGTACCTGTTCACCATTGTAAGCCTGACAAACAAGACTTTTTAAGTTTCTCTTTTCTTTCAAGTTTTAATCATTATCAGTGATTCCAACATTCTTATGCTATTCTTTAAATGTGCAGTAACTGAAAAGCTGAAGCAAATCTAGCAGGTATAGGTTCATTTTATTTCCAATATGGGGTTGCTGTACCTCCATAGGAATGCCAAATGAGCCTATGTCACTTACTTTCAGGGGAATTCAATCTTCTAAGTCAGAACCATACTGTGCAGAGATGATGACTGAAAAAAACGAGGTTACTACATGATCTATTGACTCTCCAACCGGCCCACAATAGCCTGGTATCATGCTGAAAGGTCTGGGGCCTGTTTCTCAGAGCTTCTAAATCTTTTCTAACTCTTTTCTTCAGAGATTCTTTACAGAAAAGAAATAGAATAGAAAAAATCTAGAATTAGATTAGAAAGTCATGTTTCTCAAAATACCTAAATCTGAACTCTTTCTTTTCTCCTCCTCAAGCTCATTCTGCCTCTGAAAGGGGATTGAATCCTTTTATTTGGCACATTGATGAATATGTTATTTGATGGAGTAGCTAATTCAGAAAAGGTTTATTTATAACATACATACCTGAGAATTTCCCCATCAGAATTGGTGATAGGAATATTCAGATACAGAATAGCCAGGAAAAAAAACGTCGCCCATTGTTGGATGGCTTTGTTCACTTTCATGGATTATTTTTTATTGGTGGTAACATGCCAAGCCTAATTTTTAATGTGCTTTCTCATTATAAAAGTCAATGCATTTAGCCCCAATCCCAAAACATACCCTGCAGAGATTCAGGAGAGGACAGGAATGATCAAAGCAGTTTCAAAGCATTTCCCAATATCCAGTGGTGGTAGGGTTCATGTGAAAGCAAGAAGAAAGCAGTTTTCAACAGAAGAAATCCAAGTGCTTGTAAATTAAGCTCACACTAGGAAGAACATCATATTTGGACACTTTACATCAACACTCACTGCTGCAGTAAAGCAGCAAGCCTGGGAAGAAGAGTAGTTCGAGCTGATAACTTTATATCAGTTTAAGACACCTCTTAGGCTGTCTTTTTCCTAGCTAAAACTTATCAAAAATGCAAGAAAAATATTTAGCACAGAAAAAGCTTAGAACTTTCAAGAAACTGCTTTTAAGGAGGAAATAGCCATGTTTTAGCACATTCTAAGAAAAGAAGAGATTTAGAAGCTTTGAGAAACTGGCCCCTGGTACCAAGATCATCTCCACTCCATACTTAGAATGGGATCTGTAGTTGTTCCGTGTGAATTAATCCTGAGACAGTTCTTGTGGATACAAATGATGCATTTCACACATCAAACATTTCCCTAATTCTGCTGATAAAGTTCCAAATATTGATGAAGAAAAGGGGATTCTCCATAAATGTGGTGACACCCTGTATACATCTATTCCTGTGAGTGACTTGGAGGAGTAATGGAACATGTGAGATGAATCCAAACTACTCAACCTTGCGGCCCATAGGCCAATACCACTTAAGATCTCATTTACACTTATCCTACAATTGTAGGTCAGGTAAAGTTACTAGGCTACATGCATCTGACTGGGATAACTTCCCTACCAGTACAGCTACATTCAAGAACTTGTTATTTCCAAAACACATCTCAGAGTACTGGCACTGTCACAGATACCTTTTACAATAAGCTGACTGCTCAGCACCTGTGCTCTAATGAGAGATATTCAACCAGAAAAAAAGAAAAAGGAGACAATCAATAGTACTTCAACAATTAGTAAACCACACTACACTTGAAAACATGAAGAACATTGAGATCAGTAGGGTATGAATGAGATCACCTGGTTTTCTTCTTTGTATCACAATGAGATTCCTCAGTTTTATACTTCTTTGCAGAAGGGCTGGAAGGGCAACAGAGACAGGGTTTTTTCTGCCACTCCCCAGCCTGAGATCGACGGGAACGCTTCAATGATTCTCTCCTCACTATCTCCTCCTTCTTCCAAGATGAGCTCCCATTTTGCTGCTCAATTGGAACACCATCCACACTCTGGCCAATGGGACTCCCACTTGGTTCTGTTTCTGTACCTACAGTTTCATTAGGTGGCATGACCACAGGTGACAGGATTTCTTGAGGTGAAGTTGTTGCAACTGATGGAGCTTCTGTCATGACAAATGATGGTGAGGGAACTGATTGCATAGGTTCTTGCTTGGGCTCTGATGCAGCTTCTGACAGCAACACCATTTTGCTCACAGGAAGGACTGGGGGCAAGTCATTTTTGACAGGAGAGGATATGACATTGCCAGTGGGGACTTCTTTTCGTTGAAAAGATGCTTCAAATGATGGTAGAGTACTTGGAGTAGTAATGGCCTTCTCAGTATCTTTTGGGACAACTGCATTGGTTCGGATTACTCGCACTGTTGTGCATGCAGATGCGTTGACAGGAAGGGAGCCTTGAAGGATGAGGCTTTGAGGGACATACCTCACACTGAATGGGATAATGATTCCTTTTCCCACCTCTTCATGAGTCAGCTGAGCCGTGGGGCTCTTCTTCCGAGGATAAACAATTGGAACAGGCTGCCTCGTGCCAGGCAATGCACTCCTATTCCCAGCTGTTGAGGAAAAACAAAGTACTGGAAACATCAACCACTGAATAACTCTAAGGTTGGCCACACATCTATTACGCAAGTGATGAGCAAAATTGTAGAAAGGGTGTTTCAAGCATGCTCTAAAAAATCTGAGCTATGAGTCCACACACCTAAAGAGTACAGCTTAGCTTATTTCTTTCTTGAACCATATCAACAAAGAAGTCTCATGCCAAATTCTGTTTCTGCTCAGTGCAACCATCTGGCTCCAATATCATTCACAATGGTATTCATATAGAAACATGAGATGATGACTCTGTCACACCAGAGGAATTTTTCATTGCATTAATGCTGAAAGAAGTAAGGTCTTCTTCCAGAAAATTGCATGAAGCAAAACATGGAGTGAGCAAGCAATGGTGAAATCAGTTCTCATCTATGAGAACGAAGATTTGTACCATTCCTCCGACCTATTGTAACACTTGATTCAAGATGTAAGATTGTGCAGGGGGAAATTTTTTCAATGAAAATGGAATGAAGGAACAGACTTTGCAGCTTAAAACTCAACATTTCTAATCATGATTCATTGGTATAACTTTTGATCTTATGAACACAATGAAAAAAATCAAACATGAGTATGCCCATAGCAATTCTCCAAGATCAGATAAAAATGTTAATAAAAATGGATGAACCTTGCTGCCTCGATACTAATTAATGTCTTTCAAGATTTGGCTAATTGGGTGCACCCAGTGCCATCTTTTTCTTTCAACCTCCATTAGCCATGTCACTCACTACAGGAAAAGTATAGCCTCAAATTGTCTTCCTGTATGAGTTTACATCATCCCTTACATCAAGCATACTCAAAGCATGCTTGATGGGTGCCATGCTACTTGCCTGACAGCTGTGCAGCTGGTGTAACCATCAATCACACCTATACCAACCAGTGAATCACTCTAACCATCACCCACATCTACATCACTATTGGAAGAATTCAATGTAAGTGAACATATAAAAACTAGCTAGCATGGCTGAGTAATTCCACTCATAAGCACTGCTTGGAAAGCTAGTGGTGTAATGGATGAAGGCATTGGATTGACCTGAAGCAACTAGGTCAAAAAACGCGAGAAACAATCACTTGTGCAGGCACAACTAACACAGCTTTTAGTAAATTATACACATGCAAGGGTCCAATTTGGCCAAATGGCTTGTTCCTTCAGCTTTCCAAGAGTGATCCACTAAATATTCATTGTGCAAGCTGAAACTGCCATATCCATTATCTTATCATTCTTCTGCAACTTTCGTAGTAGATATGTAAAAATTATAGTCAACTAAACAATTATAAGTTAGAATTAGTAACCTTCTTATGAGTTGCTGGCCAATATTATCAACAACTGAATGTAAGAGTTTGCAGCCATCTAATCTTGTGGGGAAAAAAAGCTTAACATCAATTCACTGAAAAATTATTCTCTTTAAAGCATTACATGACCACAGGTTTCCAGAAACCTAAGCAGTTCAAAGGGGCAACCACATATGCAAGATCTCTCACACAGTGAGGAACTTTATACACTATTTTGCAATCCTGGAGACTCAATCCAGTAGGACTTACATGATGCAGGACTTTCTGTTGAAGAAAGAGGCTTATCCAAGAGTGCATTCAATGACAGGCTCTGTGTTGCTTGAGTAGTACCAAGTGCAATGGTTGTTGGAACAGAACCTGGTTGGCATGCTTGAATGATTTTAGGGAAAGAGATGACTGATGACTTGGCACAAGTTGTGATAATGTTTGAAGTCCCTGTCCCCTTCCCCTGGACCTGGACTGGTAACTGAACAGGAATAAGACTTGATACCACCTTCATCCCTCCTCCAGTTGTCAGGACACCTGCAGAAGTCCCTGCTGCAATTGGAAGCATGTGGATTTGAGTTCCACTTGCTGTCACTACCTTGGGTCCCGTTCCCATTCCGTGTCCTGATATTGGTACTGAAACTGGGCGAACAGCACCTCGAGTGCCCATAGACACTGATGTACTTGTTACTGGCATCACAGGCTTCATCTCCTGGCTTTCCATCAACAGTTGGCCTGGCTCAGGGGGAGAGGTGGGGAGGACTCCATCAGTGCTGATGCTTGAATCACTTGTAGCAGATGAAGCACGTTCTTGCTCACTCCCTCCTGACAACCCAGCAGGGCTGAGTGGATGGAACATGGATGGCATACCAGTGCCACCCACTTTCCCAATTACACTTGCTTTCTTCTTTGTTTTCCCTGGTGAGGGCTGAGATTGGTCTTTTGGTAAGCTATTACGTCGTGGTGCTGGCTTGAACTGCTGCTCAGGTGAGATCCTAAGCTGAGCCTTGTAGTGCTCAAGAATCTGATTCACTTTAGAGATCACATCTGGGTCATCTTTTGATGGTGTCAGGGAAGGCTTTGATGCTCCAGGTTTTGAAGGTGTTGTGGTTGGTGTCGTTGATGTGGTGGTGATACGGGTCTGAGTGCTTGGTACAACTGGTGTTTTGCCCACACTTTTGGTCATCTTCTTCATGGTTCCTGAAGACGGAGAGGGAGGGGTGGTAGCAGTGCTTCCAGCTGGGACTGTTTGAGCAGCTCCAGAACGTAAAGTACCAGAATGAACAGCAGTCCTAGAAGTTCCTGTTGACACAGGAAGAACTGAGATGATGGTGAGAGGACCCTTGTGCGTATCATTTGTTACCCCAGGATTATTCTTCTTTATCAGTTCCTTTAAATGGCCCCCTTGAATTTTTATCGACTGAGTCACTTCTCCATTGGAACCAGTATTTGTAACATTCAATGTCACAATGCATGTATCAGGCAGGTTACGAAAGTCAAAGTCCTCTGGTAAATGGATTGGGAGAGCTGTTGCATTAGGAGGTGCTTTGCGAATGATACCAACAGGTGGTTTCTTTAGAGGCACGCTTGCTTGCTTGGTTTCTGCCACAGCTAAAGACTGCACATCAGACATCAAGAGGGATGCTCCATTGTTCTTTCGCTGTTGATCTTCAGCCTCCTTAGAGGAACAAACTGTATTGAACACCACTTCAAATTCACGAATTTGGTCAGCAAGAGTCTGTTCTGTTGGAAGCTGTTGGGAGGGATGTGCCATGTTTGCATCAGGGAAACTAGAAGCACTGGGCTTCTGTCCAACAGACATCACCACTGAAGACTGGGTAACATCAAAAGTGGGAACTTTCACAGCTTGCTCTGTGCATGGTTCTGTCTTTTTGTCCTTGTCAAGGAATATGTTTGTGTCAGCATTTCCTTGAAAAAATCCATCTGGCTTAACTGAAGGGATCTCATCTCTCTTTGAAACAGTTACCCTTTCATTACATCTCACAGATGACATGACAGATTCATTAGAGTCCTTCTTTACATCTGAAGAAGAAGGTGACAATGACAATGCAGAACTAGCACAATCAAGATAGTACTGATTTCCTGCCTTTCCCTCAAACTCCGCTTTCTCCCTCTTTGGCAGGCAAGGATCAGAAGATGGACCATTCCCTGTCCCCTGCTCAAGGAGAATTCTCAACTTGGCACCACTGGCAGTAGAAGCTGACTTCCCTGTGTCGTTATAGTCTGGAGCCACACCTGTAAGTTTCAAAGCCAGGCCTTCTGATGCACTCTCTCCAATATCATCTCTACTCTCATGAATCAGTTCTATAGAGTTTCCATGGTTCTGGCTTGTTTCCTCTGTTGTAGAGCTCACTTGACTGTCAGAATCTACTGGACCAGAATTGGGATGAACCGATGATGGATCCTGTGATTCATTTGACGTATTATGCAGCATTTCTCCAGAAGCTGCCAGGGCCGTGGCTACAGTCACCTCCTGCTGTGAAATTGGGTTCAAGAATCCCTTGGACAGAGCATACATTAGGCGTGCTCTGAAATTGGGAAATTTCCTCTTTGATTGCGCTCCAATCTTGTGTTCATCCCCAGAGTCATTCTCTGATATCTGCAAATGACCTTTCTTCAACATACCCTTTTTTCCTTTCAATGCCTTTCGACTTGAGCATAAGAGTGAATCATCATCCGAGTCTGACTCTGCCAAGGATCCAATGGGACGATTTGGTCGTAGCTTCCATTTCATTTCCTTTATTGGCACAGCAGCTTCACTTTTGAACCCATTCTCCACCTTACCACATGAATCTGATTCAGAGTCACTTGACGAGGCGAGATGAGCATGCCCTGGATGAACAAAGTCCAGGTTCACTTTTGGCTGTGAAATTTGGCGATCAAGCATATAGGCCCGACAAAGTTGGCGAAGTCTATACCATCCAAGATCCCAGTTGAGAACTTTCCATCTCGGGTGCAGGATCACAAGGGCCATGTCTTTCCATAAGTCATCACTGATCATCTTCTTAGATGCATAAGATTCAGCAGCCAACATCAGACTGCGGTCTACTCCTGGAACCATATGTTGAAATGCCCAACTCCGGACATCATTTTCAGGACCAAGGTAATTGCTTACTGCCTGGGAGAGGCCATCAGGGAAAATATCCTTTTCTGGGAAGTCCTTCAGTGTGCGGCAAACACGATAGGACAGACAGCAAAGGGAAGGAACCATGTCCATTGGATCTGCTATCCTCTGCATCCACTGCAGAGCCTCTTCATTTGGATGAAGTGAGAATCCACTCAAAAGAATTTCTCTGCACAGTGGCTTGTCATCTGAGACAGCCTCTGCAAAGACCATGAGGCGCTCTGATATAGTCTTCTCAAATTTCTCAATCTCATCCTCTTTGCAGTGTAATCTCATGTGATCCATGACCTGAAGATCTGCTGCCAAAGCTATCACATAAAGTCTCAGCCATGTTTCAATGGCTTCGCCCTGATACTGGAAAAAAAAAATCAAGGGTTGATTACCACCTGATGCTAAAAACAAAGCAATCAATATTGTAATTTTTAGATTAGTCTTTAAAATTAAATTTCTTTTTTGTCAAACTGGAGATAATCTACATTTAAAAAATACAGGAAGATGTTTAAAACACCTGCATCAGTTACTGACAAAACCTCACTAACATTGCATTACTGGCAGCAATCTCCACTCACCACATCTTTGAGAGCTCCTGCTATGCTGTAAAGATAGACATGTGGAGCCAATTCCTGAAGACTTTCGGTCAATCCTTTCACTTTTTCCCATGTCACTCCACTGTCTTTGAATATTTTGACAGACAGCTGAAAAAAGTAGAAGATACCAAGATATCAGCATAGCCAATTTCCAATGAAACACCCTAACACAACCTCAATGATCCAGAGTTGAAAACCAAATGAAACTGGCATAGTCTTAGTACTACTGTGTTGCATCAGGTGGTGCTGAAAAAAAAACATATTTTTAGCATTTCTTCCTCAATTTCCAGATAAGACAGAGGCCTAAAAATCATATCAAGTATAAATATATCCTTCCTCTTGCCTCTATGAGAACATTGACTTTCTAGCTACCATTAAAAAAAAAAAAAACAAAGAAAAAAATATTATTGCAAAATTATGTCCACTAGTGTCAATTTATGAACACCCTGTATAAAGTTGCTGAAGAATCACAATGTGATGAATGGGGAAATTCTGAAACATTCTTTATGTTCCAGATTTGGAAGAACATCAATACTTTCTAAATGTGTGTTTGTTACCAACTGGGACCATATTGAAGATATGATGTCAGTACAATAGCTGAGTAAAGACTTTTCCCCTTATTTCACTGCAAGCTTCTCAATTTTTTAACTGTTACATTTCTTGTCTAAAAAACGTCATCATGTATTATTTGTCTCATATAGGGTAAACACCCCAGTTTTTGGCCACATTGATACAACTCCCATAGGAAGTGGACACCCTCTGCACACCGGGAAACACTAGTAATAGGTCCTCACATGGGAAGATGTTGATAGAATGCTTGAAAATGGCCAGAAACGTGCTAACCCTATTCATCTCATGCCTTTGTCTGAGGGTTCACAAATTATATCTATTGCAGTTTTTCTCTTGAAAATTTCTTCCATTTTGACAAAAACCCATTATTGTATGAAAATTATTATACTTGGACAATTTGAAGTTACTTTATTACAATTATCCCTTTGGGGTCCAAGTATTTTGAATGTGTCAGCATTGCCATCCAAATTTTTCTATCCTTCATCATGAGGCTAACATGAGATAACTCAGGCATGGACCCCAAAGAGTTAAGGAAATGTTAGCAAAATTCAACAATTTTTCTCGTTCATATATCATACAGTAAGGGGTAAATCCAAAGGGTATGAAGAGCACTTCGCTTATAGTAAAACATGACAGCAAGAGGGTTTACACAGATAATAACTGTATTCCCAAATTCATTATGGGAACAGAATAAATTTATTGATGGACTACTTGATAGAACAGAAGAAACCTTTGCCCAATGGGGATAGGCTCCTCCAGCTAAAAAGTTTGGTGAGTTTGCAATTAATACACTTGTTCCATTCCTGCCATTTCCAGAAGCATTATTCTTCAAAGAATTTAATAAAATCCTGTATACATTTTTTTATTAAGACAAGCTAGAAAAAATTCCAAGAAGATGCTCATAAACAGAAGAGGGCTCGAAAACGTTGGAGATGAGTGCTTTTGCAAAGACCTTATTCTTAAAAGAGTAACCTTCTCAGATGGACCCTGGCAGGTGCTGGCAAAGAGATTTTTAAACCTGGAAGATAGGAGTCTACTTGAAAATTATACATGTATTGAATAACAATGGCAAGACCTAACTAATGTCTGGAGAAACTGGAGAAATGTCCTTGAAACTTGGACAGGTTGCTTGGAAATTTTCTTTCTGAGAAACCATGTGGACTCACTTGTCTACTGTTGTGGAAGAATCACCATATTCAGATAGGAGGAATGCCTGTACTTTTTGAGAATTGAGATTGAAAAGGAATCATACATTGAAGATATAAATGGAGAGGGCCTCTTTCTTGAATAGAATACATTAAAGAAAATATACTATATTACAGGAACTAGGCTCAACAGGACCTCCTTGAAAAGAATGGTTCAAAAAATCCCTGAACAAAGTGGGATTACAGGGGAATCTCAAAGACTGATTGTGAGTTGATATAGGAGAATTCTGAGGGCAGATAAGCTTTGAAAGTAATGCATAACTTGCAATTGATCATAAGGAAAGAGGAGATAGGTCAGGTAGGGCATAGAGGGACTTGGAGGAATTTCAAAAAGTAAAATGGCAAGTTATTCATGCTATCCCCAGGAAGGTCTAAGATGAAGGATGTGGGAGCTTTCCAATGTGGCAGGAAGGGGTTTGTAGCAGTTATATAAATTCCCTGTTTGAGGCCAGTATACACTTTGAGGTTTTCAGTTCTACCCATCAACTACACTTCAAAATTCAGGCACTTGTGAAACTTTTCACGAGACTCAATAATTTCATTTGTGCCAACTTGTGGAGCCAACTAGTCCTACTTCCAGCATCTCCTCTGTCTATCTTGTTTTGTGCAAGCCAATATATTTCAATGCCCAAGGATGATGCATGGAAGTGGCTTTAAGTGCCATACCATTGACATCATTCTTTCCAATGCATTATGTACTATAAGTAAATTAACCTTCATGATAAAAGAGGAAATTAAGTCTCAACATCCAGCTATTATGTCAGGCCATTCAAGCAAAAAAAACACAGCAGCTGAGAATAGAAAGGAAGGGCTACTCACCAAGAAAGCTTCACTGAAAGCAGGGAAATAGAGTTCAGGCCGGTGAAGACTTGTACGCATGACATGTCGAAGGATCTCAAGGGCAGCTTGTGGTTTTTGCTTTGAATGGAACAGCTTTGCTTGATGGAGAGCATCTGTCACCCTCAAGGATTTCACCTAGGGAAAAAATATCAAATATGCAAGTGAGAGTTCTAGTGCTAAAAGCTATGCAGCTGGGAAATGCTGCAGCAAGGATTCAAAGCACAAAGACAACTAAATAGAATGCCAATTTAGAAGTACTGAAAACCCTTCAAAAGGGGATGGAGTAAGCAAGGAGGCAGTAATGGAGAAGAAAGAAACCTTTTATATCAATTCATCCATAGGATTTTATAACAGCCCTCAGAATCTAATTAAATTCAGCAAATGGAATATATTTAGGCCAAATTATCATTATTCAATTTTTACATTTTTCTGGAGAAGTGCACTGTATGGAAATCCTAGCTGCACCTTTGGCCAGTATGACTAATAACAGATTGCTGCCTATTGACATCAAAATAATCTTGCTTCAAAATTTGTTGAACCAAGGCAGGCAAAACTTCAGAACTTCCAATGGCATCATTTGAAGAACTCCTTCCCGACTCAAAGAGATCCATCTTAATACCTGAACCCATTTCTGAATTTGATGCTGTACTCATCCATCAATAACTTCTAAGAAAAAACTGTTATCTATAATGTAACATAAACAGCCAGTAATATGCTCTTAGCCATTCTAACTGTAGGGGTAACAGGCTGAAGCCAGAATATTAATAATATATACAGGGTGAGTCAAAAGTCTTGCTCACCTTTTGAACATTAATAAATTCTCAATGCTAGATCTGGCTAAGATGCAGTTTTCACCTCCTATCCAAGGGGTTAAACAAAGGCATTGGCATGCAAAAACATGCTTGCAGCACCCCTTTCAATTGCTTGTCTGAATTATTGTGCCTTGGCAGTGATCAATTCCAATTCATGGAGAATTGAGGAAAATGGATGATAAATGATTGACCACAAGTTCTGCCTTACTCCAAATGTGAAGGAAAATGCTCAATGATTCATGAAGAAATTTATAGGAGAAATAGTCAACCATAAGTTGATCGACTGTATCAAATACAATTTTGACAGGACAGGTATCATAGGAGACCTTCCTTGATTGGACACCCTCTGACAGTGGAACAGAAAATTAGACACTGTGCTGCATGCATGTTTTCAGGTGGCAATGCCTTTGCATAACCCCCAGAAAAAGAATTTCATTTCCAAACAATACCATCAAAAAATAATGCAAAAACCTTTCCTTAGGTATAGAATTATTTTAACTTCCGAATGGTGAAAACCACATCTCAATGAGATCTAGCACTGAGAAGCTATTAATGTTCAAATGGTAGGCAGGACTTTTGACTCACCCAGCACAATAACATGCAAATATTAGAAATGAATTAGGAGAAATCATTGACATTTATTGACACAAAACTGCACACAAAAAAGTTTATTCTGCAACTAAACTAGCTAAAAATAATTTTAACAACATGCACTCTACCAACAAACCCCATAGCCCCCAATAACTGCTGAATTCTTCCTGATAGGCTAATAAAACCAAAACTCAATAGTATTTGTATTTATTTGCACAAAGACAATTACATTTAAAAATCTACATGAGAAGTTCATATAACTAGCCCAATTTCTAGAAAGGGAAAGTAGATCCTCTAATAGTTACATTCAGAGGATTCTGGTTTATGCACACAGGAAAATACTATGCCAAGTTTCTGTCAGAAATGGTCACACATCCTCCACTTCTTTATGCTTGACATGACTTTCAATTTAAAAAAAATTAAATATCAAGGTTCACCTAATTCCATTTCCCTTTGTATAAAATCATATGAAATGATCCTAAGCTAACCTGGTTGTCAAATTCCTGAACTCTTCGAAGCTGGAAGAGTGTTGACAGGAGGATATGTCTGAAGAATGCCTCATCCTTCTCAGAGAATCGTGTCATGGTTGATGATGAGAAACGAATTATCGTCTTGACAAGTTGAAGGGCATACTCATGACAGGAATATAGCTGCAGGAAGCATAGTCTTGCCTTCAAAGTCCTTACACCTTCCACATCAAAAAATTCTCCCACTGAAACAAAAAGTTTGTACATATGCAGTAAGAAAACAAGCTTGACACAAGAAAGTTATACACAAACTGGGGTAGCAGATTTGCTTCATTAGCATTCACTAGCATTCATTAGCAATGGACATTCAGGGTCATGACAAAAAAAGTTAATATTAATTTTCAATTAAAACTTACCATAAAACAAAGCCCCGCATGAAAATGATGAATTTCTATAAATAGCACTAAAAAATAGTGAAAACCCATTGCAATTTTAGGAATATTCCATAAACTCAGTTGAGTTGTTTTACCACAAACCTTATCCATCCATAATAATGATTGAAGATGTTGAAGAAAAGCAATGGAAAATAAGAGGGAGTGAACTAAGATGAGTGAAACAACCAGCAACCAGGATATCAGATATTGACAAACTTTAAAGATAAACTGTAAAGATATTGCTGGATGTAGGTATGTTAGTTGCAATCAATGGCACTCTCTTTTGTATCCATCTCAAGAACTTCTGGAGCCCAAGGTAAAATTTAACATAGAGATAGCCACATATTCCGCTCCTGGTCTGCCCTTGGGGCATCGTGCAGAGAGTACGCTATGACCGGTGGAAAGCCGAGCGATAGGCCTGGATGTAGCATGATGGGGTCCAACACACCCAGAGACATCGGATTGCCAGGCCCCAGTAGCCAACTTATCAATAGTCACCCTGGGCACACAGTGACTATCACAGTCCTGATTATCCTGGGCAACGACTGAGCCAGTATGGAGTACCTGAGCCGAACTCAACATGCTGGATTTGGTTTGTCTTGGTCACCCTCAACGGAAGCACCTATAACATGGTTGGACCTGAGATATTACGGCCTTCCACATCACTGGGGTCCATCCTCGCGACTTGAACACACGAACCATTGAGGACTGCCATCCAAAAGGAGCAGTGCGGCTTTCGTGAAGGGCGCAGCACCACAGACCAGCTGTTCACTCTCCACCAGATCCTTGAGAGACATTGGGAGTATGCCAAAGATTTCTACATGTGCTTTGTGAACCTTGAAAAAGCTTACGACCGTGTACCCTGAGGAAAATTGTGGGGAGTGCTGCAGGAGTATGGGATCAAGGGTCAGCTATTGCGGGCCGTTCAGTCCCTATACAGTGATTGCAGAAGCTGCGTCCGAGTGAGCGGGAGGAGTTCGGATTTTTTTCTGGTACACACTGGACTCTGGCAGGGTTGTGTCCTCTCACCCTTCCTGTTCCTCATGTACATGGACAGGATCTGTAGGCACAGCCTTGGCCTGGAGGGGGTCAACATCAGTGACGTCGCAGTAAGGATACTTCTCTTTGCTGACAGTGCCATTCTCTTGACCCGCTCTCCACAGGAGCTCCAGAGCATGCTTGATCAGTTCGACTCTGAATGCACTGCGGCAGGAATGAAACTGAGCGTCTCCAAGACACAGGTCATGGTCCTCTCAAGAAATCCTGCTCAGTGCACCCTGCATGTCAGTGGGGTCCCACTGGAACAGGTGGAGAAGTTCAAGTATCTCGGGGTCTGGTTCTCGAGTGACGGGCAATACGGAAACGAGATCGACAACCACATCTCCAAGGCTTCTGCAGTTCTGCGGGAACTTTGGCAAACTGTGGTTACCAGGTTGGAAGTTTCACGGGAAGCAAAACTAGGTTTTTAAGAGTGTTTATCTCCCCACCCTCACTTATGGTCATGAACTTTGGGTAATGACCAAAAGCACCAGATCGCGAATAAAAGCTGCCAAAATGAGGTTCTTGCGTCGAGTGGCTGGCATAACGTGCTTTGATCGGATGCGGAACTCTGCCATCTGCGAGAGTCTCCACGTCCAGCAGCCGCTTCTCCAGATTGAGAGATCTCAGGTCAGGTGGTTCAGTCACGTCTGTCGCATGCCCCTGAAAGGCTCCCAAGAGGAGTCTTCCAGGCCAAGATAACCAGCAAAAGACCTGTCAGTAGACCTCGTACAAGGTGGAGTGATTACGTCGCTCGGCTTTGTCACGAGAGGCTCGGCATCCCACCAGCTGAGCTTGAGTTTGTTGCCCAGGATCAAGATCACTGGAGGACACTCCTGGGAATGCTTGAACTGCAACCCCATTAAGTTGGGAAAAGCGGGCAAGAAAATGTATGTAAATGTATAATGGCCACATATCTTCCCTGCAAGCCATACAATTTTTTTCAAAATCTAATAAGGTTGTTTTTGGCAATATGAGGTCAAAGGTCATTATGACTCCCTTACAAAATTCAATACTGGTCTACATTGGTTCATTGCTGCATTGATTGAATTTTGTAAGGAAATGCATTTTAATATGTTCACCTCACCAGATTGGTGAGGTGAACATTTTCAATGAAGATGAGAGAATTTTCACTCCATTTTCAATGAAGATGAGAGAGAGTGTGCTGATTACTTTGTGCTACGCTCAATGGAATCCCAAATCAAGTTGACAATCTCTGGAGTTTGAATGTTTCTCCAATGACAAGATAGTTCAACATTTTTATCTGAACAACTTGAAAGAGAATATCTCCCTCTTGCCAGGTGCCAAAAAAGTGACAAAATTCTCATCAATGTTGTAATGGATGGTGCAATTGCCAGGGCCCAGAAATGTCTGGAAATTGGCAGTTGACACATTCAGCCAATTTGTTAAGTAAATTCCTCATTTTTATGATTAGGAATTCCCAGAACACTATTATTCTATCAATACTACAAGAAGTTATTACAATAAGGTAGAATGGCAAAATTTTCCTCGAATTGTAGTCTGAATTTCTTTACTATTCAAATGAATAAAGAAATCATAAAACAGCAAATGTGAGAAATTAATTCTTAGCCATGCCAAAGTGGAAGCAAGAAAGACTTTACACTATTCCAAAGTCAGTACATTGTCAGTCAACAAAATTTGGAAAAAAGGCTACTTCAGGGTCTATAATAAAAAAAGTCACCCATAGGTAGTCACTTTATGACACCCCCCTGTATGACATCATACCTAAGCAACAATAAAATGGAAATAAAACCATTCTAAACTCACATTCCTCCAATGATAGCTCCTTCTTTGCAAAGATTGCATGAATAGTGGGGTTTCCCCAAGGATCAGAAGATATAAGGCGTAGCAGGTCACAACAAACTGAAGTGACACATGGATATCTTGAGAATCTGTGAAGGGAAAGCTCCAAGGTCCTTTTCAGCAGTCCTCTAAGGGCATTGGAGATGTTGCACCAGCCATCCTCCAAAATTACACGTGCACTTATCCTGCCAATGAATAAAAATGTTGGATACTCATGTATAATGACAAAAATGTCAACACTGTACCAAAGGTTAAATATTATACAAAGAGTATATGCACCTAAAGTAACCATTATTTCATGAAGGACTTTTAAATTAGAATTTCACATGAGGTCTACCAGTAAGATATCATCCCCACTTTTGCTTAAAGAAATTTAATCTAAAGATGGCCAATTGTGTTTCCTGTGGGGGGCCATCACAATGGATACTTAAAAAACACAGATGCACTGAAGAAAATATTTATTGCCACTGCTCCTGAATCCCCAGAGGAAGGATTGCCAGTGAATTCCATTGTCTCTTATTGAAATTAATTGAATGAGGGGCTGCCAAGCAAGAGAGGACTTTAATACCATTGTAAGTGCTGATAAAATCCTCTATGCCTCCAACTACCTATAAATTCTATACCAACAATTTCTGGAAACAGATGAGTCGTGTGACTTTTGAGGGTTGAAGATCCTCAGAACTAATGCATGACTTATACAAGTACATGAAAATCGTACCTGGTTACTGGTCAATTGATGCACAGCATAAGAGGATCTCTGTGACAAGCAAATACTCCACACAGAGAGGTGAGCATTATATGCCATTGAAAGCCAATATCTCCACCATAAAAATCAGTGCGAAATTTTACAAAATTTTGTGGATATAGATATATTAAATTAATATATTATGTTTGCATTTAAGAATCAAACCAGCAATGCAAGGGCTAACAGAGTAGTTTTCAGGAACGAAGCCGGTATTCCTTCGTCTTGTGCATACCTAGCTTTGTCCCATGCACACTATTTGGGGCGATGTTAGAGTTCATAATTGCGAATGGATCGGTTGTGGGTGTTGTACGAGTCTATACTGCAACCTGCGGCCGTCACAGAAGATGGGAGAGGGAGTCATCGTGAGCGGCAGCAGGTCTCCCACACTCAACGCGGAATGCGCTGCCGGGCAGCTCAGGGCGAGCAGAATGAACGTCCAGCGGACCTAGTAACGCGTAGATGAGTCCACGATTGCAGTTTTCCTTGCAATTACATCTGCGAATTTCTATCTCTTGGTGAGAATGCACCAGCAGCAATCCCCATAGGGAGACTTCGTGTGGCAGTTGTCTACTGCTGAATGGCAGAAGTGCCATCCCGCAGGTGAGTCGATAGAAAGGCCTCATACGGATCACGGACTGCCATTCTTTGGTAGCTCGGAACTATGAAAATCCCGCTTCTGGCGCTACACGAACATGCTAAAGCTTACATAGGTAGGCATTACGTATCACCTTCCCAATCTCAGATGAGACAAACCCGAAAGGCGATAGTGAGTGATAGGGGTGAGGAGAATGTCACCCAATACACAAAACGGGAATCTTCTTCCGGTTCGGGAACCGATTCCCTCCTGGGCCAGGGACAGGCTTTCCTTAGTTGCAGTTGCAAGCGTTCAACGGTGAACAACGAAGTTAGGTCTCTTGTGAGTGGGGATTGCCGGTAACAAGTGAAACCCGTGCATCCTGACAAAGGATAAAAGTTCGGTTATACCGAAGTTGGTTAAGTTCGCAGATGTTTGAGGTATATTGATGCCTGATTGGAAGGAAAAGGGCAATCGTAGGTTCTTCTTCGCATGGGCCAGGTCTGCTGGACGTTCACCCGTTACGTCTCGCCGTTACGTCGGGTAGCGCGTTCCGCGTTGAACGTGGGAGTGGAGGTTCATACCCCATTGGAAATTAGTGTTCACATTACTTAGTCGAAATTCATATGCAGTGTCCACAGGAATTGACAATGTGCACAAGACGAAGGAATACCGTCAGGCCGACCTATATTGAAGGTGTTACTGAGCTCCCTCAACTTGCGCCCTGAGCCAGCTGTATCACCTAACAAGGCAAGACCAGGCAAAGACACATGGTTTAACACATTGAGGACGGGTGACACAAATTTGTGTTTTCATGTAGGGCAGTGATGAGCAATCTTTCTTGACTGCGGGCCAGAAGTGAACATTTTAGGTTCCCGGCGGACCGCGTTCATAATTTTTGAAATACTGAATTACAGGCTCTATGCCTGCTGAGTACCAAAATAATCCTAAGCCTGGCTAAGTATACCATGTATTAAAATAATATATGATAATAATATGCAGATGACTAATTTAAAACTTCTTCTCACCTTTTTACTGAGAAAAACAAAAAAAGCAAGCCGCTTGCTCAGGGAGTAGTGATACATTGACCAAGAAGGTGAGGGGATATTTGCAACTGTGGCGCGGAAATATAGCTTTGTTTTATTTCTTGCTTCCATATTTCCTGCAGTGGGTAGCGGAATCCTGGGGCCCGTTCCTCGCCTCTGCTAAACTTAAATCTAAATCTAAATCTTAGTCTAAAGGGTCAGGGCGAAGAATAGACTTTTTGCTTTTAGATTTAGACTTAAGTTTAGCAGAGGCAAGGAACAGGCCCCTGGAGCGCACGTGCGCTCTACTCCGGATGGCAATGTTGGCAAAGCCTCGCGGGCCATATGCGGCCCGCGGATTGCTCATCACTGATGTAGGGTGTAGTTTCACGCTACTGTGCGTGTATTGTTTGTGTACTATTTGGTTCTGAGATGTAATTTTGTGGAATGTAGACTTTCATGTGTTTCTTTTAGTACCATTTGTTACCGTCAGCTGCGTTCTTATTGCTTGTATTTATTTATTTATATTATTATAATCTGCTTTATGTTTAGGGTGCCGGTCCTCTGTGTGTTAAGAACTTCCATAACAAACATTAACTCTTTTGCGGTCCTTTGTCCCACTGGGTGGGCCGTTGGTCAGAGCGTTCTAAAAAAGAAAAAGGATCTCAAAGGGTTAAAATAAGACATTCCCTGGACATTTTCAGGGAAATTTTCAGATATAGAGAGCATTTACAGGATCTGGTTATACCTCACAAAACCAGGGGGTGAACATGTCTCAAGCACTTGAGGAACAGGTGTAAATGAGGTCTGATATAAGCTGTTCACCCAAGAAAGTAGCAACCTTGAAAGTAGGTCTCTGCCTGTATTGTCCCTCCCACTCCCTCCTGTACCGTCTTTTTTTTTTTTTTAACAAGCAATCCACGAGTCAACCAGAAAATTTTAGTGGGGTCAAACCTAATCAAAATAATCCGGTAATGAAAATGTTATAATTCGGGAGATACCAGTGAATTCTCTGCGTTATCCTGCATCTATCAAGCTATAAAGTTTGCCAAAAGATCAGTGTATTTCGAACATATGAGGGAAAATCCGAGGAGCTGCCGGATGAAAAATCTCAAAAATTACGCAAGTGGCCGCACATGTCGCTAAAAAATTTTTTTTTGCCTTTTCACGCGGAAAGGACGTTCTCCGACTGATTTTTCGTGGCAACGCGCGAGAACGATGTCTCCCGATGCGAATTCACCCATTATATCATGCCCGTGCAAGGTGTCATCTATGCCTGAAATGTAGTCGATGTGGATGTGACCATGACGGGGTACCAATTGAGATGAAATTGACTCGAAAGAGAGGCCAGTCAGTTTATGATAGAAAGGCCAGTGAGAATAGGCAACGTAGGGAGAGTATCAGAAAGTTGCACAAGTGAGGAGCTTTAAATGAAGTGCTAGAGGAGGACGCAACCCTTCCTGGAAGGAGTGTCGGTGGCGGCAACCCTCGGAGAAGAGGGGCAGCGCAGGAGACTTCTTCCCATCCTGTTCGGCTTGTCACGAACGTGGCAGAGTTGCTTGATTCATTAGGCTTGAGCCATCTAAAGGATTGAGTAAAAGAAGCTCCCATCCCAGTAATTTCGGTCGGAACCTAGGAACTGGGAGAATAAGGAGCACTCAGGATAGGCGGCAGTGCTGCTCAGCTCCCTGAGAACACAACTGGAGTGAGGGGTACAAGCTGCAGCACTCAACAGCCGGTTTGCCATCACACTCTCCACACCCTTTTGGAGAGTTCTTGTTAGGGGGGGGCTCATCCCTCCTACCCCTCTCCAAGAATTTCAGCCAATCATATTGCGTAGTTCTAAATTGTACCCAATCAGATTAACAGAGAACAAAAGCTGGGCCTGGCTGGCTGGAATATGAGGGCTAATTGCTAAACTTTTTTTCGGGGGAGGTGCGGCCTCGGGTCCGCAACTTTGAAACCCATATCTCCAAAACTATGGCCCAGCAAAAATAAGGTCATTTTTGGAATCAGCAAATCACGGAATGCACGAATATCTCTTTTTCGATCTTTGATTCAGGTTTCTGAATTTAGTTGTCCCAGGGTGACCCCACCAGACTCCTCGATTTTGTTCTGGTCGACTCGGGGATTGCGTGTTAAACTTATCCATGCCTTGTTCATGGAAGTCCCTCTTTAAGCCAATGAGTACATATAAAAAAACAAACTCTTATGATTGACCACATTATTTCGGTATCAGGAGGTTGGTATTTCCAGAAAGAAACAATTAGTTGATCCTGTGAAATAAGGCTTTTGATCACCAATTACACAATAGAGATATTATCAGACCATAATTCATCATCCATCCAAAATTATAGAACCACTGCCAGTCTAAAAACCAGACTTGTGCTTTCTGCATTATTTCACTAGATAGTGAAATAATGCAGAATGCACAAGTCTGATCCCCATGCATGTGTCAAGAGTAAAGTATAAAAATTGTCTCTCAAGTGGAAAAGCAATAGAGCTCTTTCAATAAATTGCTTTCATTTGTAACTCAAAAAGCCAATCCATTACCTGTTCAAATGCAAGGAATGGCAAAGCACTGACACTGACAAGAAAATGAAATGAAAAATATCAGTGGGGGTGAAGTAGTAGGTGCTGAAAGACCCCTCTGACAGGATATGAAGGAAGAAATGGGTCTGACCCATCAGAAAATGCATATGATCCATGTCCTCTCAAATTGAAGGGAAGCTATAACTCCTTTCTATGCTGCTTGCTTCTTCAACCTTGGTCAGAGTCTGTTGATATCTTTTGGATTTTCATGATCTTTTCAACCCAATTTCAGCCTCTCTTAGAGCAGGTCCACTTTAGCTCCCATATTGATTGACAATATGGATAGTAGAGCAGAAGAAAGGACCTTATAAAAAATAACTACCAAAAAAGTGATTGTGGGAGCAACTTGAACAGGTATATCTGTATGGAGTGAACAAAACTAAGAGGTTCAAGGAGGAAAATTAAGTATGAACACAGAATGCTAAGCAAGTGCAATAACTGTGGCAACTGTTTATAGGAGAGGAGGGATGGGATCTTGGGACTATTACATCAATAGGCCGTAAGATCCTGTTTGACAAAGTCCAAGGTATGAAATTAAATAATTGGAGGATAATAATGTTTATTATTATAGAGGTATAGGTTGGGAAGGTGAGTGGGAGACTACTTTAAACAGGCCTTCAAAGAACTGGAGAGAAGGCCCCTCACTCATCATGAGCACATTCCTATCAAAGATAGGTCTGATGAGATGAGGATGGCCATTATTCCATCTTCAGAATCAAACTTCCATGCAAGAGGCAGTTATTTATTCTACCAGAAGCTTTCCTTGAAATTCCACTTGTCTGCAATTATTACCAAATCTCAATAAGAATTATGAAAAAGATGGAGGGTGAGATGCATTAAATTAGCTAAAAAAATTAATTTTAATAAACTTCCAACCCCAACAGTAGAACTTGAGGTAGCATGATTTGTCTCAAAGGAGGCAATAAAAATAGTTGATCATGAAAAGTGGGTGGTGGGTGAGATGTGAGTTCATCTATCCCATTCAGACAAGTGACCTGTTTGGGATTCATTGCCTTTGGACATGAAGTGAACCCTGAAGTGAAGGTGGCAGAGAGGGTCAGAGAACGCTACACTGAGTATTCAAGTTACAACCAAAGAGATGCACAATCCAATTATAATCTTGATTCAGATCATGGGAGATCACCAATGGAAATGAATACCTATTGAAAAATAATCTTATTTTCATCAGTTTTTTAATCCAAAAGAAAGGGCAGCTTGTATCCAACTACACTGCTTAGATTAACTTTCCTTGAGTGGCTTGACAAAACTAAGAAGGAACATGAACATTTTACCACACGAAAAAAAGAAACTTCTTCTTACAAGACATAGTTTTCAGAATTGCATATTTTAATATATTAAAAGACAAAAAAACTAAAATTCCATGACCTGTTGCACCCCAATAAGGGTCACACCTCCCAGTTTGTGTACTACCGAACTAAAAGCTATTCTAAAGTTACCTGAGAAAAATATAGTTATAACTGTTTAAATGTGAATCATCAGTAAGTATTACATGATATTGAGGAGGGGCATCAATAATTGGGATCCACTGTTGTCATATTTTATGTCACATATTTTACATCAGACACAGAGTACCCTCTGTCATAGAAATGACTACATTCATCATGTGAGCCAGAATTATGTACAGTCATGCAAGAATAAATTCTTGACTTTATTACAATGTAAAAAGAAGCCATTGAAAAGCCTCCCTGGTCAGCATGTCACAATGCCATGCCCTCTCCTGTACAGAATACCACAACTCAATCATATTGTAACTATATACTTGATTTAAATCCATTGACATGTTTTTGACCTACTTGCATCAGGACATAATTCATTAAATCAACCTCCTCCCTCTGATTATTTCTTATATTAATGTCACCCAGTACATAGACTAGGGACAGTATATCAGTATAAGTACATAAGCAGGGTGTTAAGCTGTGTGAAACTTCTGTTCAAGGCCTTGTTCCTGTTCTTGCCATGATTCTAGAAATCCTGACATTTTACACCTATGGACATTCCCTGCATACACCATTCCCACTGTGGTCTCCTTCTAGCATTCCTGCTTCATTCCTCAGTGGAGCCACATATCCCCACAAATATCACTTGGGTGTCCCATTTCCTAAAATCTTGGAGCAGTCACAGCAGCAACCAGAATTCTCAACTTTCTCCTCTCTAGCTAAAGGGACACTGGGGTATGCTTCTTACAGCACATCTGAGTTGCCCAAGTATATCTTAGGGGATTCTCATGCTGGGTTATCATATACAAGTGAAAACTTATAAAGAAGTAGGATTATTACCATGTGCCTGAGGCTGCCTTACAAATTCAGAGTTGACCATGCCAATAGTTACAAGAACAGGGTCCCACCCCCTCCCACAGGAGGAATAACTACACATTATGAACATAGAATAGGGCCAACATAAGTAGGCCTAGTTCATCCTGTTAGATATTTTAATAACAAACTGTCACCTCAGTCAACCAGCAGCTGATTCATAAACAGGCTAAGCCAAATCTCTTTCAGAAACCCGAGCCATGGAGTAAGTCTATGCTTAGTACAGCAGTTAAATTAGTAATTTAGCTGCCTATTGTAAACTGCCATATGTTCAGCCACCAGTGACAGCTAAATGACCAATGCCTAGACTCCATTAGAAAAACGTGATTAAATGACAACCACACACCGATCTGGACATTAACACTAACGTATCAGGCATCTTCCAATGATCCTGAAAAAGTTTCAACACTTTTATTATTTTACATCATTTTTGTCGCCATTGATTGGGTTCTTGAAGCTGTTTTCCTCTGGGAAATTATTACCTGACAGCTCAGATTAGCAAATGATAGGCCAAGGGCCAAGAGTAAAGCCCAACTTAAGCCAAAACATTTGATCTAACTTTCGGGTAGACTATCAACCTAGGCCTAATTTGTGGTTTTAAATAACAAAAACATACCAGAACAGCTCCTCGTGTGACTCCACGACTTCATCATATGCAGTGAAAGTGCTCAAATGACCCCACAGATTTTTTAGGGCTTCGACTCTCTCTACATAGGATTGATCGCTCATATCCTCCCGGACGGCATCCCTTTGGACTACACTAAATCCCACCAGAAGGAGAAGCTGCGTTCAGGGAAACGGGAAGAGCTAACTTTCCGCGTAGGCCTAAAACATACGCTATGTTGAAATTGGGGAGGGCAACAAAAGAAAAGATGCTGAACTCTGTGCTAGTAGCCATCTTGTCTTGTGAAAGTGACGGAAGAGACGATTACTGCACACGGTTGTCCGGAGACGCCGACCGCAGAGTGCATTTCACTTTTACAAGAAACAGAAGTACTCTTTATGACGACTAAAACTTGGTGTCAGTGAATTCCGAATTACATTTCCAGATTATAAAGGGTGCTTTTCATGAGTTACGATGTCATCAATGCCACATTAAATTCTAGTGCTCTTAATTCAATTGAGATTTCCACTGAATGGAAAGCTTCCTTGGAGTCAGCAGAACGAGGCATAGTGATCAGAAGGGATGATTACAGACACCTTTTTTTTGGCAAATATCTTTGGAAAACGATGTTTTCCCGCCTATGCTCAAACAGGGCCGGATTAAGAAGGCGGGGCCTTCCCCTGCGAGGCCGGGGCAAGTGAATTCTTGAGGCTAACCCCCCTTCCCCACTATTTTACAAAAATATTTAACGTTAATTTCCTTCGGGGGGGGATGGGAGGGGCGCCCCTGGAAGAGTGGGGCGCGGGGCAACAGCCCCCTTTGCCCCCCCCCCCCTCCCCTCTCCCCTTAATCCGGCCATGTGCTCAAGCCATGTTCCCATGAGGCAACATTTTTTGTGGGCTAGTGTACTAATGGTGGACTGAAGACGACTCCAGCAGACAGATTGGGATTCTTTGGGGACGCTACTGCACCAGACAGTTCCAAAAAGCTTTAGACATCCAACGTAAGGTCCGCATTTGATCCTCACGTCCGTAAGCAGGAAATTGTATGAGGTATGACCTTCCGTATGGTGTCAAGTATGAGGTGTGACCTACCACAGCACGTTGGATATTAAGTGCGACTAGACGTTGAGGTCTTCCATCTGACCTGACACCTGGCAGTTCATTCAAATAAAAATAACGTTCCCACAATATTAGCGGGGTCGTGCTGAATTCCCAGCTGTAGGTATCTCGATTTCCCTCCTGCTACTGGATGGTTCTGCAGTTGCTTCCATCCTGCACTCGATATTTTCCCATGTAAAAGCAGACGGAAAAAGTAGGACCTAGTTGCATTTAATGCATTTATCCAGAGGGGTAACCTAACTCAAGGAGACTCCAAGTACCTGCACAGTGGATGGACAGAGAAAAGGGTTCTCCTCGTCAGATGAATCGAGGAGTCTCTGGAGTGCCTGGTGTCTCCTTGAGCTAGGTTACGTCTCTCAACAAATATATTAATTATAATAACTTCCTTCCTTCGGTTTTTACTCGGAAAATTATCGAGTATAGGATGAAAGCTTCTGCAGAACCATTCATCAGCATTTGGGGAATCGGAAGACATTCAGTAGCGGGATGAACGCGACTTCGCTTATATTGTGGGAACTTCATATTTATTAAATGAACTGCTAGATGTCAGGCCAGATGGAAGGCCTCAATGTGCACGAGTGTTCATCGAAAGACAACCAATGGTAGACCGTGAGAAGTTGTCCTTAGAAGCTCCTTAGCTGAACGTCCAATGAATGCCCAAAGACGGACTGACACATCGTTTCGTTCGTAATGTAGTACTGCAAATGGAATCATGCTCTGGTCCAATTATAATGTCACACTATCGACATAATGATTGGAGTTACTGGGGGTGAATTCACCCTTGGTTTCTACCTAAGAAGAGAGAGATGGAAAAAAAAACTCCAGAAATCCCATGATCGGATGCTCGTAACCCCATTCCCTAAAACCGTTATTCAATAACATGGAAATAATTGAATGTTCGATGTAGGGAAATTCTGCTAAGATAAAGCTCAGAATGCATGAGACGATATTGATCCATGGCGATGACATCCTATGTACAGTGAACCCTCGATACAGCGCCACCCGCTATACCGCCACTCTCGCTTAGCGCCATCTCCTTCCCGAGAAGGAATCTTCCCCATAGGTTTATCATTGGCGCTCTCCCGTTATAGCGCCACCCTTGCAAGCCGCCATCTGCCAATACCTTGCCTTGCAAAAACATGCTTTATTCAACGTAAGTCGTACTCCATATAGCGCCAAGCAGCATACCATACCAGCTACAATGATCATACCATGCACTACCGTGGTGGAAAAAAATGACTTGCTGTCAGCCTTTCTTTTGACCGTTCGATAACGGGATTGTGAGGGATGACTAAGCTTTGGCACGGACGCCAGGGATTAGAGGGGGGCGTAAGGGGTCTCTTAATCTCACCTAATCCTGTCTCTCCTTTTCTTTCTCTTGGAAAATGGAAACGCCTCTTTCAGTTCAAAGTTTCTCCAGACGATTGTTTAAATGTGTTCATTATCCAGTAATGGGGAAGAGGACATTTATAAGTGTGAGGGAAAAAGTGGAAGTGTGTTACAAGGAGACGGATGCTGCCGAAAGTCGGCAAAACATTTCCAATCATTTTTCAAAGCTGTGCAGTTTTTCTTCTCCATTGGCAGCACGGACGAAATAAAGTGGATTTTTTTTTGTAATTCTATTTTACATTTGAGTTATTTCGGAATAATTCCGTTTTAAAGCCGCCCTTTTCCATATAGCGCTAAAATCGGCTTCAGACCAACAGTGGCGGTATATCCAGAGTTGACACACACAACTTTGAATGCTTTTTGCAGTTAGCTGCTGTCCTCACGTGAGGCCTCCATGCACTCGTGGTTGCTATCGATTCCAAACCGGTAATTAAAATGACGAAATACGAACGAGCCACCATCGAAATCGCATCGCCGTGTCGAGGGACTCATCGAATTTAACTCACGAACTCCTATGATAGTAATACGATGATACCGATCGGAGCTTCTGGGGCGTAGGAAGATTCTTCCCGAGAAAACTCGCCAAAACTCTCGTAAGGGGGGGCGGGGTTCTTCTAACTGCCCGCAAGAAAACACTCAGAAGTTTATTAATGATGTGTGGAACGGGGACTCCTAACGATGTCTAGAAGAATCGAGTAAAGTTTCAAGGTCGTACGGAGAAGCCACGCATGGAAAACTTGCTCGACGCCAGTGGAAAAGAAGACTAGATCTCACCGATGCGAGAACCAGTTTTCGAATCTTTAACGAACCACTTTGCCATCAAACCAATTTGTCATGAGACCACTTTGCCATCGGACCACTTTTGCCACGCCGGAAAGATGTCTCCCTGATCTCGCCGACTCGTTTGAGAGTTTCGTCAGCGTCGTTATATTGGAATGCTCAGCGTGCAGCAGGATGATGCATCAGGTTGATGCATGCATATTCATTAACCGACGTGAATGTGGACTATTAATATTTGACGATACCGCTTTCGAAGGCGTCGTCTCGGCACTGCTTAATAACTCAGGACTCAAGACTGAAGTGAAGTAGCTTCTGGGAAAGCAAAAGAAAAAATGTCTCATCTGCTACCTTCTTCCTCCAATCCCCAAGTTTTCCGTAATTAACCTTGAAACTCCGATCGATTTCACGACACACTTCTTCAGATTCGCACAGGGATAATGTTTCAAGAAATCTGACATGGCGAAATTTCACTTTCGAAGTTGATTTCTTGCCCCCTGCTGAAATAACCGTACATAGGAGACGATATTAAAATCCTCTTTTATTCGAGTTCGTTAACTTCTCGATTTCCTGATATCTCGAACCCGAACTCCATTCCCGATCGAGGATTCCTCAGTTAACTCCACGTTCATCACGGCAACTGCGACGAATAAAAAAAAGGAAGAGAGGCTCCTACGGACTCATTGATTTCCTGATTAGGGGAAAGAGCAAATAAACCTGTTCTGTGGAGTCGGCAGGCAAAATGAACTCGTTTCTTTTCTCCCCTTTCCTCTCCGATGCCTGAGGCAAGGATTAAATCCGAGGCGAGGATTAAATCCAAGGCAAGAAAGGTTTTCCGATCCAGCCTTTCCCTGCCCTCTCACTCGCTCTCACTCCATACCTTTCCTCTCAACTTTACGATATTTTTCTCGAATAAAAATTAGGTATTACCTGATTTTACCTTCGCCTCTTGAAGCCGATAACGATCGCTTCCTGGGGACGGAAAAATCGCGTTCTAGTAATTTTCTTCGTGCGCAGAATGTTTTCCGAGCGTCGAGGCTATCACTGTCGAGTCGAATATTGAATAATTCGAATGGATTTTTCCAGTTCATGAACTTCGAGTCGACTTGTTACCCCTACGATAGCATTTTCCTCGATGGGATCATTCCACGTGAAGTCATCCGATAGGACACGGTGATATGACGGTCACCATCTCGAAAAAACTTTCAGGTTTCGGTATGAAAATCGGACCCTCCGAGCAGATCCGGACTCGGATCGTTTCTTTCGGGTCCGGTTCTCTACGGCTGGACTCGGACGCGGACGGACGGAAAGGAGTCCTCGAGCGAACGAGGCACGTTTCCTCGGTCGGAAAGACCGATGCGCACGTACTCGTTTTCTCTATTTTCTCGCTTGCGGGAACCGAGAGTTCCGTGCAGTCCCTTCGTGACGAACGCGAGACTCGTTCCGTGGAGACTTCTCGAAGACCGTCGGCACCTGCCGAGACGTCACGAAGGCACGCTGCATCCTCCTGCCGGTTCGGGCGGATTTCGACGGCTCGAGGAAGCGAGAAGGCGTCGACACGCGCCGGATCTGCGGTGGAAGGCGGCGTGCCGCGTGCAGACTGCATTCGCAGCGTGAGGGCGAATCGATACTTTCGTTGGGGTCGCGTGGAAGGGCTCGGGGTTTGGAAAAATGCCAGCAGGAAAAAAAAAGAAGCCCAGAATTGGCGAAAGCGGAAAAAAAGCCAACCGAGGCGAAACCTTGAGCCAGAAATGCTTAAACTTAGCCTTAATATTTGAGCTATAATATAAAAATGTAACATAAAAAAACACTCATACTTGTCTACTTTGTGTGCATCGGAAGATATTGGCTTTGGTATCAGACACTTGGCATTTTAAACGTAAAAATTTTATTTTTGGCATCGT